TGGTTAATAGATGGTTCTGGTATATAGATGGTTCTGGGTATATAGATGGTTCTGGGTGTATAGATCGCTTCTGGGTGTATAGATGGTTCTGGGTGTATAGATGGTTCTGGGTGTATAGATGGTTCTGGGTGTATAGATGGTTCTGGGTATATAGATGGTTCTGGGTGTATAGATGGTTCTGGGTGTATAGATGATCTGGGTGTCTAGGGTTCTGTATAGATGATCGCTCTGGGTATATAGGGTGTATAGATGGTTCTGGGGTGTATAGAGGGTTCTGGGTGTATAGATGGGTATATAGATCGCTCTGGGTGTATAGATGGTTCTGGGTGTATAGATGGTTCTGGGTATATAGATGGCTCTGGGTGTATAGATGGTTCTGGGTGTATATCGATGGTCTGGGTGTATATGGTTCTGGGTGTATAGATGGCTCTGGGTGTATAGATGGTTCTGGGTGTATAGATGGTTCTGGGTGTATAGATGGTTTCTGGGTGTATAGATGGTTCTGGGTGTATAGATGGTTCTGATGGTGTATAGATGGTTCTGGGTGTATAGATGGTTCTGGGTGTATAGATGGTTCTGGGTGTATAGATGGCTCTGGGTGTATAGATGGTTCTGGGTGTATAGATGGATGGTTCTGGGTGTATAGATGGTTCTGGGTGTATAGATGGTTCTGGGTGTATAGATGGCTCTGGTTCTGGGGTATAGATGGTTCTGGGTGTATAGATGGGCTCTGGGTGTATAGATGGTTCTGGGTGTATAGATGGTTCTGGGTGTATAGATGGTTCTGGGTGTATAGATGGTTCTGGGTGTAAAGATGGTTCTGGGTGTATAGATGGTTCTGGGTGTATAGATGGTTCTGGGTGTATAGATGGTTCTGGGTGTATAGATGGTTCTGGGTGTATAGATGGTTTCTGGGTGTATAGATGGCTCTGGGTGTATAGATGGCTCTGGGGTGTATAGATGGTTCTGGGTGTATAGATGGTTCTGGGTGTATAGATGGTTCTGGGTGTATAGATCGGCTCTGGGTGTATATGGCATCTGGGTGTATAGATGGTTCTGGGTGTATTGGTTCTGGGTGAATAGATGGTTCTGGGTGTATAGATGGTTCTGGGTGTATAGATGGTTCTGGGTGGTTCTGGGTATAGATGGTTCGGGTGTATAGATGGTTCTGGTGTATAGATCGTTCTGGGTGTATAGATGTATTTCTGGGTGTATGTATGGTCTGGTGTATAGATCGTTCTGGGTGTATAGATCGTTCTGGGTGTATAGATGGTTCTGGGTGTATATAGATGGTTCTGGGTATATAGATGGTTCTGGGTGTATAGATGGTTCTGGGTGTATAGATCGTTCTGGGGTGTATAGATCGTTCTGGTGTATAGATGGTTCTGGGTGTATAGATGGTTCTGGGTGTATAGATGGTTCTGGTGTATAGATGTTCTGGGTGTATAGATGGCTCTGGGTGTAATTGATGGTTGGGTAGAGATGGACTCGGTGAGGCGGGGGGCGGACGATTCATACAGAAACCAGAAGAATGACATTTATGACTTCCTCAGGATATTCGGCTGCAGAAAATGAATTTGTGTAAATATGGACATCGCAGCCAAACCACAACTTCCCCCCTCCCCCCCCCCCCGATATCATCACCCGAGAGTGAGCTCCGCCTACCCACCTCCTTACTATAAATACACGGGAGAACGATGTTATTAATACATATGAGTGTCCTATCTAGACCGCATATCTCCATCTAGGGCGTAATCATACACGGACGTGTCCTACAGACCGCATATCTCCATCTAGGGTGTAATCATACACGGACGTGTCCTATAGACCGCATATCTCCATCTAGGGCGTAATCATACACGGACGTGTCCTACAGACCGCATATCTCCGTGTAGGGCGTAATCATACACAGACGTGTCCTATAGACCGCATATCTCCATCTAGGGTGTAATCATACACGGACGTGTCCTATAGACCGCATATCTCCATCTAGGCGTAATCATACACGGACGTGTCCTACAGACCGCATATCTCCATCTAGGATGTAATCATACACGGACGTGTCCTATAGACCCGCATACCTCCATCTAGGGTGTAATCATACACGGACGTGTCCTATAGACCGCATATCTCCATCTAGGATGTAATCATACACGGACGTGTCCTATAGACCCGCATATCTCCATCTAGGGTGTAATCATACACGGACGTGTCCTATAGACCGCATATCTCCATCTAGGATGTAATCATACACGGACGTGTCCTATAGACCGCATATCTCCATCTAGGATGTAATCATACACGGACGTGTCCTATAGACCGCATATCTCCATCTAGGATGTAATCATACACGGACGTGTCCTATAGACCCGCATATCTCCATCTAGGGTGTAATCATACACGACGTGTCCTATAGACCGCATATCTCCATCTAGGGTGTAATCATACACGGACGTGTCCTATAGACCGCATATCTCCATCTAGGGTGTAATCATACACGGACGTGTCCTATAGACCGCATATCTCCATCTAGGGTGTAATCATACACGGACGTGTCCTATAGACCGCATATCTCCATCTAGGGTGTAATCATACACGGACGTGTCCTATAGACCGCATATCTCCATCTAGGGTGTAATCATAGGAGGTTAAGATGACCAGGTCCCGTATATGACAAGGGCCCCGCTGACCCGGGCCCCATACTGAACACTGCTGACCCGGCCCCATACTGAACACCTGGCTGACACCGGGCCCCATACTGAACACCGCTGACCGGGCCCCATACTGAACACCGCTGACCCGGGCCCCATACTGAACACCGCTGACCCGGGCCCCATACTGAACACTGCTGACCCGGCCCCATACTGGACACCGCTGACCCGGGCCCCATACTGGACACCCGCTGACCCGGGCCCCATACTGGACACCGCTGACCCGGGCCCCATACTGGACACCGCTGACCCGGGCCCCATACTGGACACCGCTGACCCGGGCCCCATACTGGACACCGCTGACCCGGGCCCCATACTGGACACCGCTGACCCGGGCCCCATACTGAACTCCGCTGACCCGGGCCCCATACTGAACACCGCTGACCCGGGCCCCCCATACTGAACTCCGCTGACCGGGGCCCCATACTGAACTCCGCTGACCCGGGCCCCATACTGAACAACCGCTGACCCGGGCCCCATACTGAACTCCGCTGACCGGGCCCCCATACTGAACTCCGCTGACCCGGGCCCCATACCGAACTCCGCTGACCCGGGGCCCCATACTGAACTCCTCTGACCCGGGGCCCATACCTGGGACCAAGCTCAAGATCACAGGTCCAGCTTCTTGGTACCTCACCCTAGAAGTCCCGGCTCCACCACCAGAAGGGACGTGTAAGGGGCCACCCTCGGCACCTCGAGCTTCAGTCAGGTATACAACCCCATCCGGCCTAAAGAATTCTTGCCAAAGCCAGCTGAGAGGAGAGATTTTTGCTGAAGTTTTCAGGGATCCTGAACCCCCAAACCTCCTCTCCCAACGACAACTGAGCCAATGAAAGTGCAAAAAGAAGATTGAAGGTACTGAATGAGGGCAGTGCTACCCAAGGCCTCTATGGGGGGGTTGTGCTACCCAAGGCCTCTATGGGGGGTTGTGCTACCCAAGGCCTCTATGGGGGGTAGTGCTACCCAAGAGCTCTATGGGGGGGTATGTGCTACCCAAGGCCTCTATGGGGGGGTTGTGCTACCCAAGAGCTCTATGGGGGGGTAGTGCTACCCAAGGCCTCTATGGGGGGGTAGTGCTACCCAAGACCTCTATGGGGGGGGGGTAGTGCTACCCCAAGGCCTCTATGGGGGGTTGTGCTACCCAAGGCCTCTATGGGGGGTTGTGCTACCCAAGAGCTCTATGGGGGGGGGTAGTGCTACCCAAGGCCTCTATGGGGGGTAGTGCTACCCAAGGCCTCTATGGGGGGGGTAGTAGTGGGGGCTAGTGCTACCCAAGGCCTCTACGGGGGGGTAGTGCTACCCAAGGCCTCTACGGGGGGGTAGTGCTACCCAAGGCCTCTACGGGGGGGGGTAGTGCTACCCAAGGCCTCTACGGGGGGGGGGTAGTGCTACCCAAGGCCTCTACGGGGGGTAGTGCTACCCAAGGCCTCTACGGGGGGGGTAGTGCTACCCAAGGCCTCTACGGGGGGGGGGGTAGTGCTACCCAAGGCCTCTACGGGGGGGGGGTAGCGCTACCCAAGGCCTCTACGGGGGGGTAGCGCTACCCAAGGCTACCCAAGGCCTCTACGGGGGGTAGTGCTACCCAAGGCCTCTATGGGGGGGTAGCGCTACCCAAGGCCTCTATGGGGGGGTAGTGCTACCCAAGGCCTCTATGGGGGGTAGCGCTACCCAAGGCCTCTACGGGGGGGTAGCGGGGGTAGGTACCCAAGCTACCCAATGGGGGGGTGGGTAGCGCTACCCCAAGGCCTCTACGGGGGGGGAGGCCTCTAGTGCTAGCGCTACCCAAGGCCTCTATGGGGGGGTAGTGCTACCCAAGGCCTCTACGGGGGTAGTGCTACAGTTGGATGGCTTACCAGATTCCCACCATTGCTCCATATCTTGTACAGCCTCTAGCAATCTGCCTAAACCCACCATATGACATGAATGCTGGTTGGGGGAGGGGTTCAGCTCTCACAGTAAATTACGCATCACAATTGCCAATATAAGCTGCAGCACCTAAATATGTGTAGAAAAGTCATGGACGCCATTAGAAATCCCATCCCCCCCACCGAAGAGTCAGTAGAGTTGCCTACCCTGTATGCCCTCCCTGGGTGGTGTTCATACCTCTGGCCTGTAGATGTCACCATGTAGACCTGACATGGGTAGAATCCTTTCTATACTCTGTAGAAGTTCCTGCGTTATGGATGCCAGAAGCGGTTATTGTGGCCCTCTCAGACTACTCTGCCCCCCAGACTGCGGGAGACAACACAATGGACTGTACAGACACCCCAACACGCCCCATCGACTCACCGCTCCGACCAGAGCGCGTTCCGTCACCAGATCCACAATCTGCACAGCGATCTCCTCCCCGCAGCGGTTCTGGGCTTCGTGTGTGCTGGCCCCCAGATGGGGGAGGCTAATCACCAGAGGGTGGTCCACAAGGGCCCGATCCCGGGGAGGTTCCTGGGTAGGAGGGAGTTAAAGAGGAATTTAGTAATAAGCCCCGGAGATTTCACATGAGAAAAGATTTGAAACCAAAAACCACATTTTGTGCGAAGATGATTTCGTGGTAATAGGACTTATTTCACATCCCCGAAACATCACCCAAGTTCCACCCAAATGTCCCCCAAGTTCCCCCCGGAATGTCCCCCAAGTTCCCCCCGAAATGTCCCCATGTTCCCCCCGAAATGTCCCCATGTTCCCCCCAAATGTCCCTCAAGTTCCCCCCAAATGTCCCCAAGTTTCCCCCCCAAAATGTCCCCATGTTCCCCCAAAAAAAAAATATCCCCCAAGTTCCCCCCAAATATCCCTCAAGTTCCCCCGAAATGTCCCCCAAGTTCCCCCCGAAATGTCCCCCATGTTCCCCCCAAACATCCCCCAAGTTCTCCCCCAAATGTCCCCCAAGTTCCCCGCCCAAATGTCCCCCAAGTTCCCCGCCAAATGTCCCCCAAGTTCCCCGCCAAATGTCCCCCAAGTTCCCCCGAAATGTCTCCCAAGTTCCCCCGAAATGTCTCCCAAGTTCCCCCCGAAATGTCCCCATGTTCCCCCCCATGTTCCTCAACCTAAATTCCCCCGAAATGTCCCCCAAGTTCCTCCCGAAATGTCCCCCAAGTTGGCCTGAATTGTGCAAAGTTGGTTAAACAAAAGCCACGTGATGCGCTTCATTCACCACCCCGAACTGTTCATGTTTTCTGCATGCGCAAGATCCTGCAGACTGCCTCACGGAATATATCCACACCATGCAATCCTAGGAGACAGCTCATGGGATCCCGTGCAGACGCATCACACGGCTCAGCCAGGTCCCAGGAACCCATACAGCGTGTCTGCGCATGCGCAAGATCCTGCAGACTGCCTCCCAGGATATATCCACACCTTGCATCCCAGGAGACAGCTCATGGGATCCCGTGCAGACGCATCACACGGCTCAGCCAGGTCCCAGGAACCCATACAGGGTGACTGCGCATGCGCAAGATCGTGCAGACTGCCTCCCGGAATATATCCACACCATGCATCCCAGGAGACAGCTCATGGGATCCCGTGCAGACGCATCGCACGGCTCAGCCAGGTCCCAGGAACCCATACAGCGTGTCTGCGCATGCGCAAGATCCTGCAGACTGCCTCCCGGGATATATCCACACCATGCATCCCAGGAGACAGCTCATGGGATCCCGTGCAGACGCATCGCACGGCTCAGCCAGGTCCCAGGAACCCATACAGCGTGTCTGCGCATGCGCAACATCCTGCAGACTGCCTCCCGGAATATATCCACACCATGCATCCCAGGAGACAGCTCATAGGATCCCGTGCAGACGCATCACACGGCTCAGCCAGGTCCCAGGAACCCATACAGCGTGTCTGCGCATGCGCCACAACCGGATGCAAGATTGCAAACCCCAAGAAGAGCGATATAAGGAGAGCTTTGTTTGCAGCCGAGGCAACGCTGGACTCCGCTGGCCCCCCTGTGACCAAGGATCCTGGAAGCCGGAATGACTTTGTCCCTTCCGGGGTCCTGCCTGTAACAGCTAATCAAGCTTGATCTGTGCTTGGTGAGCTTCTCTGGGGAGCAGGGGGGACATCAGGGGTCTAGTAGATCCTTGATGGCACCATAAAGAGTACCTGTCAGTGCACAAAGCTATCACAAGAGAGCAAACAAGACCCTTGTGATGGCAATAAAGTTACATGAAAAAAAAAAAAAATTATTAAAATCCCCCCAGTCTTCCTGTGCATACATGCAACGCACACGTATGTAACGGTGGTTGCGCCACACATGTGAGGTGCAATAATTCAAGGGCCATCATTCACAATTTATTCCACACTGATAACCTGTAAAAGGCTGTGAAAGCGCCCCCTGTGGACAGTTTCCGGTACTGCGGTTTGTTTCCGTTTCCTGGCATGCGCAATCTTAACCCGCGACACGTTTGGTATCTGTTTACTCGGTGAAACGTCGTCTTTTCACATATTTTTGCCAAAAATTGGGTATTATTTTGTGGGTTTTGCGCACATATTTAATTTTCATGTATTTTCTCCCCAAAAATTTACAATTGATAAAATGGCTGCACAATATAGCGCGATATAAAACAAATGACAGCCACCCCCATTTGACTCCCCGCGGACTCTGCTTTCAGAAAATGTAGAATGTTTGGGGTTTCTGCGTCATTTTGTAGAAATATGGCAATCCGTGGCGTTGGCGAGGAAGCGGTGAACGTGGATTGCTGATTCAGCTATTTATAGATCTGCTCTGTGTCGCCAGAATTTCAAAAATAGATGAAAATTATTCAGCAAAATCTAATTTTAGATCATTTTGCAGATGACTGAGGATTCCTGACTCAACGTCAGGCTGAGGTCACATGACCCCCATGATACAATCCCCGGCTGTCAGCGGATTCCCCCTTTAAAGCCCAGCAGTTCACCGAGGTCATAGCAATCTTGGATCGACCTTTCTGCCGCAGCCGCCATATTGGAGATTACGTGACCGGTTTTTCCTCCGCCCGGCGCTGGAGATCGCCTGTATCTCGGGTTACTGAGTAACCGACACGTATGGATTATTGGTGGATAGAGGTCAGAGGTCGTCCTCATATTCCAGCGTCACCTCCTTACCTCTGTGAATACATCCAGCCCCCGCGCCTCCACAATGGCCGCTCTCCAGCGCCCGCGCCGCCCTCGTCCGATGATGCCACCCGGGCACAGTTGATCACTTGCACGCCGCGCTTGCACTTGGCGAATGTGACGTCATTGAGCAGACCTGCGATGACACAACAAGAGATGGGGGGGGGGGGTTAGACACCATGGAATCCACCATCGTAGAGCTCCGCGTGGGGGTGGGGTGGGGGGGTTACCTGTGGTGGAGGGCAGCAGCAGCAGGGGTGTGCAACACCGTGATGTAGTCGCACTGGCGGCCAGATCTCTTCCAGAGGAAACTGCTGAACCCCAAATTGTGCCGTCACCCTATCTGGGGGGATGATGGGGTCGTATCCGATGGTCTGCGGGAAGACAGAGCTGGTGACTGGAGGGGGGGGGGGGGGGATGATGGACAGGCTCCATACTCCAGGTATGACAGAGGGAGAGCTCAGAAAAGATGGAGGCCGGGGGCAGTGCCAGGATATGGTCATCTAGAGCCCAGGGAGAACATGCCAAACTGACCCCCCCCCCCAAGATGTGTGAGCATTCTGTGTCAGCAAAAATGTCTCCCCCCCCCAGGATGTATGAGCATTATGTGTCAGCAAAAATGTCTCCCCCCCCAAGATGTGTGATGTGTGAGCATTCTGTGTGAGCATTCTGTGTCAGCAAAAATGTCCCCCCCCCCCCCCAGGATGTGTGATGTGTGAGCATTCTGTGTCAGCAAAAATGTCCCCCCCCCCCCCAAGATGTGTGATGTGTGAGCATTCTGTGTGAGCATTCTGTGTCAGCAAAAATGTCTCCCCCCCCCCCCCAAGATGTGTGATGTGTGAGCATTCTGTGTCAGCAAAAATGTCTGTCCCCCCCCCCCCCCCCCCCCCCCCAAGAAAAAAAAATTGAGCACTAATCTGTATGCTTACCCCCTAAGCACAAATTCCCCTTCCTCCCAGTACAAATCAGCCCCCACTGCTGAAACCTCCTCCTAGCACAGATCTTTGCCCCCCCCCTCCCAGCTGAGGTGTTCTCTCTCCCCAAATTCCCCCCCCCCAGCAAAAATACCCTCCCCCCCAAAAAAATAAAATAAATAAGTAAATCACCCCTCCTAGCACAAATACTCCACCCCACAAATTTCCTCACCGAGTACACATCCCCCCCCCCCACCACACTCCAAATCCCCCCTCCCAGCACACATCCAATCTATCCTCCTGAAGCACAAATCCTCCCATAACTAAAATTTCCTCTTCTAGCACAAATCCCCGCCCCCACCATATCCCCTCTTCTAGCACAAATCCCCCCCCCCCACCATATCCCCTCTTCTAGCACAAATCCCCTCCCCCCCCCCACCATATCCCCTCTTCTAGCACAAATCCCCCCCCCCCTTCTAGCACAAATCCCCCCCCCCCCCCACCATATCCCCTCTTCTAGCACAAATCCCCCCTCCCCTTCTTAGCACAAATCCCCCCCCCCCCCCCACCATATCCCCTCTTCTAGCACAATTACCCCATAAGTATCCCTACAAGCAAGCATAAATTCCCCCCCCTCAAAAAAATCCCCCTCCTAGCACAAATCTCCTCCGCCTCTACCATGTTCCCTCTTTTAGCACAATCCCCCCCAATTCTTCCCTCCTGGCACAAATCTCATCCCCCCCTCCCAACAAAACATTCCCCAAATCAACACTCCTAGCACACACACACCCAGACTGACCCCACTGGAACAATTCTTACCCCTGACGCCCCCCCCCCCCCAAATTCCCACTGCAAACACAAACCCCCCCTCTCAATCTTCCTGTGTTCCCCCTCCCCCCACCTCACATGATACTACAGTGCCCAGGGCAGTCGCCCCTCCTGCCCACCCCTTGTCCTGGCCCTGGATGGACAAGATAGAGGCCGCACTGCTTCCTGAACTCTGTGTATGGGGGTGCAGTAGAATGAAAAAAAGAGTGGAAGGTGCCGAGTATCAGGAGAGGAGAGAAGATTGTGTAAGGCGGAGGCAAGACGGTGAGAGGCAGACGTCATACCGCTTCCTGAACTCTGTGTATGGGGGTGCAGTAGAATGAAATAGAAGGTGAGAGGGAGAAGGTGGAGAGGAGAGGGAGAGGAGAGAAGAGGGAGAGGAGAGGGAGAGGAGAGGGAGGAGAGAAGAGAGGGAGGGAGAGAGAGAAGAGAGGGAGAGAGAGAGGAGAGGGAGGAGGAGAGGGAGAGAAGAGGGGGAGGGGAGAAGAGGGAGAGAAGAAGGGGAGAGGGAGAGAGTCAGGAGAGGGACAGAAAGGAGGAGAGGGAGAGAAGAGGGGGGAGAGAGAAGAGGGGAGAGGGAGAGAAGAGGAGAAGGTGGAGGAGAGGGAGAGGCAATAGAATGTATTATGTAAAGATGGAGGGCAATGGTAGGAAGGACAGACAGCCGCCTCCTGAACTCTGTGTATGGCAGGACAATATGATGAGACAGGAAGAAGCCAATTACCTGGAAGCAGAAGAGACCAGGAAGCAGAAGAGACCAGGAAGCAGAAGAGACGGAGGTAGCACAAGAGACCAGGAAGCACAAGAGACCAGGAAGCACAAGAGACCAGGAAGCACAAGAGACGGAGGTAGCAGAAGAGACCAGGAAGCACAAGAGACCAGGAAGCACAAGAGACCAGGAAGCACAAGAGACCAGGAAGCACAAGAGACCAGGAAGCACAAGAGATCAGGAAGCACAAGAGACGGAGGTAGCAGAAGAGACGGAGGTAGCAGAAGAGAGACGGAGGTAGCAGAAGAGACGGAGGTAGCAGAAGAGACGGAGGAAGCAGAAGAGACCAGGAAGCAGAAGAGACCAGGAAGCAGAAGAGACCAGGAAGCAGAAGAGACCAGGAAGCAGAAGAGACCAGGAAGCAGAAGAGATGGAGGACATCAAATTAGAAGGAAATGATACGGGGCCAGTGATGATAGGCAAGCAGCCATGATGCCTCCTGCACTCTGTGTATGGGGGGACAGTAGAGTATATAGGTAGGAGAAGCCAATTCCCGGGGAGGAGAAGAGATGGAGGACCCAGAATTGGGAGGCTGGAGAAGGATTATAGAACGTGTAAAGATGGAGCCCGGTGATGATAGGACGTCAGGTATCCTGCCTCCGGCACTCTCTATGGGGGTGCAATACTATGAATTAGGGGACATGGAAACGTTGGACTTCAGCCCAGACACTCCAATCTCCTTCCCTTCCTCTTACCGTCATCTGGAATGACTGCATCCTGGTAGCCACTTCCTTCCCAATGCGGCCCAATCCCAAAATTCCCAGAGTCTTCCCATGCAGCTCGGAGCCCATATACTGGAGAAGAAATAAGCATCCATATATATGAAATATTCCACCAGGAAGCCCTCTCTAGAGTAGCAGGCCGCCCTCTCCTCCTACCTTCTTGCGGTCCCACTTCCCGTCCTTCATGGAGGCCGCCGCTTGTGGGATCTGTCTGGAGAAGAGGTCTGAGGGTTACAGGGCACAACTTCTAAAATAAAATGACCCCCCCCCCCCCCCCCCCCCCCCCTCCCCCATAGGATGCTATGGTTCTATCAGCTGTCTGGTGGGGGAATTCTTCTGCCGAATCACCAGACAGGAAGTCCAGTGAGGGTTGGAAATGATCTCCTCCCGTTATATATCTCATGGAATGTTCACAAAGACCCGACATTACCAATCTGCAGCACATTCTAGAAAACTGCCCAATCAAATGTCCTCATCTCTTCATTGCAACCATGGCAACAGTACTCAGATCATTAACAGGCCTGCTTTGGGAACTCTTCCCCCTGCTCCTGTAATGAATACATAGTTTCCCTACCCCCACATTGACTGACCATACCGAACCCTCCCCCCCCAACCGACTGACCATACCGAACTCCCCTATGACTGACCATACCGACCTCCCCTACGACTGACCATACCGAAACCCCCACCGACTGACCATACCGATACCCCCCCCCCCACCGACTGACCATACCGATACCCACCCCCACCGACTGACCATACCGAACTCCCCCCCCCCAATCGACTAACTATACAGACACCTCCCACTGACAGACCGTACCAACTCCTCCCACTGACTGACCGTACCAACAGTCCCCCACCGACTGACCGTACCGACACCCCCCCCCCCTCCACCGACTACCCGTACCAACAGTCCCCCACCGACTGACCGTACCGACACCCCCCCCCCCCCCTCCACCGACTGACCGTACCAACAGTCCCCCACCGACTGACCGTACCGACAACCCCCCCCCCCCCCACTGACTGACCATACCGATACCGAACCCCCTACGACTGACCATACTGAAACTCCCCCCCACCGACTGACCATACCGATACCCCCCCCACTGACTGACCATACAGACAACCCCACCCTGACTGACCATACAGACTCCTCCCACTAACTGACCATACCGATACCCCCCCCACCGACTGACCATACCGATACTCCCCCCACCGACTGACCATACAGACTCCTCCCACCGACTGACCTTGGGAGACTCCGGTGACTTACCTGGACAGGCAGAGGATAAGTCCACAGGTCAGCTCAGCGGCACTGATACTGTTTCCAGTGGGGGTGCTGTGGGGGGAAGGGAGACATGTCAGCGAGAGGTTGGAAGATGACCACACACACAGTACAATCTAATTGTCTTCAGTCCATGGGGACGACACACCCCACATGGTACAATCTCATTGTATGGAAACGGTTGTCAGGTTACAGAAGATTGCACTAGATTGACTAATATAGAGAAGACTGCAGGAATGACCCCTCCCCCCGCCCGCTGGTAGAGACATGACAGGCCATAGGCCCGGTGCCCTGACTCAGATAATGGTCCAATGACACTACACACAGTACAACCTCCCCCCATCATCTCATCACAGGTTCATGTCCCTCAGACTAGATCCTCCATGACCCCCCACCCATCCCACACGTTGATAGTCCATTTCCTTCAGCCTGATCTCAGATTGCAGTGTGTGTGGTGATCATGACGGGACTTTTACTCACGTACTTCATGACAATGATCCCGTTCTTGGTAGCGGCATCTACATCCACATTGTCCACTCCGGTCCCGGCCCGTCCAACCACCTTCAGCCTGCTGCCGGCGGTCAGGACCTCTGCGCTCACCTTGGTGGCCGAGCGAACGATGAGCCCGTCATAGTCCTGGGGGGAGAGAGGGACAACCACTGAGTCCGATATACATAGGGGACAGAACGACCACACGGGTCCATACATAGAGGGGACAGAACGACCACACGGGTCCATACATAGAGGGGACAGAACGACCACACGGGTCCATACATAGAGGGGACAGAACAACCACACGGGTCCATACATAGAGGGACAGAACGACCACACGGGTCCATACATAGAGGGGACAGAACGACCACACGGGTCCATACATAGAGGGGACAGAACGACCACACGGGTCCATACATAGAGGGACAGAACGGACCACACGGGTCCATACATAGAGGGGACAGAACGACCACACGGGTCCATACATAGAGGGACAGAACGACCACACGGGTCCATACATAGAGGGACAGAACGACCACACGGGTCCATACATAGAGGGACAGAACGACCACACGGGTCCATACATAGAGGGACAGAACGACCACACGGGTCCATACATAGAGGGACAGAACGACCACACGGGTCCATACATAGAGGGGACAGAACGACCACACGGGTCCATACATAGAGGGGACAGAACGACCACACGGGTCCATACATAGAGGGACAGAACGACCACACGGGTCCATACATAGAGGGACAGAACGACCACACGGGTCCATACATAGAGGGGACAGAACGACCACACGGGTCCATACATAGAGGGGGACAGAACGACCACCACACGGGTCTATACATAGAGGGACAGAACGACCACACACGGGTCCATACATAGAGGGGACAGAACGACCACACGGGTCCATACATAGAGGGACAGAACGACCACACGGGTCCATACATAGAGGGGGACAGAACGACCACACGGGCATATCCATACATAGAGGGACAGAACGACCACACGGGTCCATACATAGAGGGACAGAACGACCACACGGGTCCATACATAGAGGGACAGAACGACCACACGGGTCCATACATAGAGGGGACAGAACGACCACACGGGTCCATACATAGGGGGACAGAACGACCACCACGGGTCCATACATAGAGGGACAGAACGACCACACGGGTCTATACATAGAGGGGACAGAACGACCACACGGGTCCATACATAGAGGGACAGAACGACCACACGGGTCCATACATAGAGGGGACAGAACGACCACACGGGTCTATACATAGAGGGACAGAACGACCACACGGGTCCATACATAGAGGGACAGAACGACCACACGGGTCCATACATAGAGGGGACAGAACGACCACACGGGTCTATACATAGAGGGACAGAACGACCACACGGGTCCATACATAGAGGGGACAGAACGACCACACGGGTCCATACATAGAGGGGACAGAACGACCACACGGGTCCATACATAGAGGGACAGAACGACCACACGGGTCCATACATAGAGGGACAGAACGACCACACGGGTCCATACATAGAGGGACAGAACGACCACACGGGGTCCACCATAGAGGGACAGAACGACCACCACGGGTCCATACATAGAGGGACAGAACGACCACACGGGTCCATACATAGAGGGGACAGAACGACCACACGGGTCCATACATAGAGGGGACAGAACGACCACACGGGTCCATACATAGAGGGGACAGAACGACCACACGGGTCCATACATAGAGGGACAGAACGACCACACGGGTCCATACATAGAGGGGACAGAACGACCACACGGGTCCATACATAGAGGGACAGAACGACCACACGGGTCCATACATAGAGGGGACAGAACGACCACACACGGGTCCATACATAGAGGGGACAGAACGACCACACGGGTCCATACATAGAGGGGACAGAACGACCACACGGGTCCATACATAGAGGGGACAGAACGACCACACGGGTCCATACATAGAGGGACAGAACGACCACACGGGTCCATACATAGAGGGACAGAACGACCACACGGGTCTATACATAGAGGGGACAGAACGACCACACGGGTCTATACATAGGGGACAGAACGACAGAACGACCACACGGGTCCATACATAGAGGGGACAGAACGACCACACGGGTCCATACATAGAGGGGGACCACGGGACCGGGTCCATACATAGAGGGGACAGAACGACCACACGGGTCCATACATAGAGGGGACAGAACGACCACACGGGTCCATACATAGAGGGGACAGAACGACCACACGGGTCCATACATAGAGGGACAGAACGACCACACGGGTCCATACATAGAGGGGACAGAACGACCACACGGGTCTATACATAGAGGGGACAGAACGACCACCACACGGGTCTATATATACCTTCCCACTGTCCATGGTTAGGAAGGACACCAGAGGGTTCAAGCACCACTGAGCCCATACCACCCACTGAGGTCACTCACCCCATTCACTTATGTAGCGCCCTCCTAGAGGTTGTCCGGTATTTAGTTGGCTGCTCTGCAATCGTGGAGCGGGGGTTGATTGCTCAGGCCTGCTCATTGTCTGTCTCGGCTGCTGCTCTGATGACTTCCCCCTGTATTCGAATCATAGTCAGTAAGCGGCCTGAATATTTATGGAACTCCAGCCAAGCCCTGAGGAGATGTGCTCAGTAGGTGGTTGGAAGCCCATAAATAGTCTGGGGTCTGAGACACGTGGAGGTGAGTTCCTTGGTCCAGTCCTGCTGGAGGACACCCCTGTGCAGGGGCTCTGTCCCTGGGGCAGGACTATTGGAGGTGCCCCTAAGAGGACACTGAGGTCCCAGCTTAAGGCCACATGCTCAGTCCTGCAGTTGGTATGGGTCTGGAGATGTTCACTGGAGAGAGCCAGGTGGAAGTTGGTGGGAAAGTGTCCAGCTGTCCTATGGAGGAGGGATTCTGCATCTCCCCCACCGAGAGGAGCCTGGTGGATATTGGATGGAGGCAATTGATGATCCTGTGGCCAGTTGTGTAAATGACCCGAGTGCTGGAAATTTGTGGCTGTGTTGCTTTTGGTCCTTTGAGAAGTCATAGTCACCATCAGCAGTAGAGATCCTGTGGAACATTTTATGTGCATCTCATGCAAATGAGAGAAAAGTCCTCAAAAGTGTTCAGTTTTGGGGTGTCCCATGTTCCCTCACCCCATCAAAGTTCAAAGCTACAATAAAACCCTAAAAAAAAGACATCCCTGGACTTCTCCAACTGAGCCGCTGGAAGAGTGAAGAAAAATGCTGTGTGCCTGGCTGTGTGAGCTTACACTGGGGAAAGGAAACACGTTGACCAGCGGCTCCTTTGGGTGAGCGCTACACTTACGTGGCTGAGAATCCTCACCATGTGGGCCTTGGGTTCCCCGAATTCCAAGCAGGCCCTACTGGTCTGGTATGGATGAAGTGGGGACAGCACTCAAAAACGAGGCTATCCAAAGGGGGAGGGGCACCATAGAAGAGCTCATGCCGTCAACATGGGGGGTACCTTGACAAAGCACTGTGTTCCCATGTTGATGAGGACAAGGGCCTCCCCCCACCCTGGCCCGGTGATTATGGGGGGTCTGAGGGTGTGGGGATTGTCAGCATCTGGGATACTCATTCATAAAAAATGGAAACATGGAAATGGAAAACAAAGATCGTTTTGGGGGGGAATCCTATAATGGGAATCCACCACCAACCAGGCCGTCCAGCCACACGTGTCCAGTCCTACTGCTTCCCTTCAGCTGGATCTGCCATTGGATGGACGAGAGGCAATGGGATTGGCCATGAGCCAATAAGCTGCGGATGTCTTCTTGGTGGATTGTCGGGCATTGTGATTGGCCTGGATCTGTGTTGGAGGTGGAGTCACATTTTACATTTGTTGTGACTATGTACCCCCCGTACTCCTTCCCATGGGGGAATATTTGAGGGCCCTTCTTACATTAAAGGGGCTTCATATTCTGATAAGACCCCCACACAACCATCGGGCCCTTGTCCTCATCAATATGGGCCCTTCTCCAGGTTGGCAAAGTACCCCCACCCCATCTTAAGGGAGCGCGGCCTGGTATCTCTAAGTAGAAGTCCCACTTCTCCTGTCCCGGATGCCGGGTGTCATTCTCGGTATCTGTCCCCGTTCTGTATGTATGGACTCTGCAGAGTCCCACTTCTCCTGTCCCGGATGCCGGGTGTCATTCTCGGTATCTGTCCCTGTTCTGTATGTATGGACTCTGCACAGTCCCACTTCTCCTGTCCCGGATGCCGGGTGTCATTCTCGGTATCTGTCCCCGTTCTGTATGTATGGACTCTGCACAGTCCCACTTCTCCTGTCCCGGATGTCGGGTGTCATTCTCGGTATCTCTCCCCCATTCTTGCACAGTCCCACTTCTCCTGTCCCGGATGCCGGGTGTCATTCTCGGTATCTGTCCCTATTCTGTATGTATGGACTCTGCACAGTCCCACTTCTCCTGTCCCGGATGCCGGGTGTCATTCTCGGTATCTGTCCCTATTCTGTATGTATGGACTCTGCACAGTCCCACTTCTCCTGTCCCGGATGCGGGTGTCATTCTCAGTATCTGTCCTCATCCTTTATGTATGGACTCTGCACAGTCCCACTTCTCCTGTCCCGGATGCCGGGTGTCATTCTCGGTATCTGTCCCTATTCTGTATGTATGGACTCTGCACAGTCCCACTTCTCCTGTCCCGGATGCCGGGTGTCATTCTCAGTATCTGTCCTCATCCTTTATGTATGGACTCTGCACAGTCCCACTTCTCCTGTCCCGGATGCCGGGTGTCATTCTCGGTATCTGTCCCTATTCTGTATGTATGGACTCTGCACAGTCCCACTTCTCCTGTCCCCGGATGCCGGGTGTCATTCTCGGTATCTGGTCCCTATTCTGTATGTATGGATCTTTTTATTTGTATAAACAAACAAATTACAGGGTAACAAAACTGTAACCATCATAAAAACAAATAGCACATAACCAACAATCTTAAACAACTGCTTACATATTCTTTCACGTCAAAAATCCACATCAGTTTAAAAAGAAATGAAATGTTATACACAGAATTTTGATACTAATAATAAATTCCATCCCTTAATTTTTATA